TTTCCAATTGAATAATAAGAGTTTATACTATACTTGTTTGACATACCATTAGTGGATCCTCTAACCTTGACATTTGTTATTATCACTGTTTAATCCTTACATTAATATTCCATCTCAAAGTTCTCTTCTTTTCTTATTATTATTATTGTTATTGTTATTACTATTATTATTGTTGTTGTATTATTGTTATTTATAATTTGTACAATTAACCTCTCTATGGTTCGATCCCGGTCTTGCTGGGTTATTTATTATTTCGACACTCCTGCACTTGGGAGAAAACATCAATCTTTTAGTTGTGTTACGGCAAAGCTAGATCATTGCAATATAAGTGATCCTTGTTCATTGTTTTCCATATAAAATAATTAGAGGAAGTGAGCTTTATCATGTCCGAAACTTCTTTTTTCATTTTAACTGCACAAGAAATTCAATCTAAATAACCAATGCTTTGATACCACTTTGTTGGATAAACTAGGAACACATAACCGAATACTAATCTGGCCGGATCAATTCACAATTCACAAGTTCCAATTCTTTTCCCTCTTTATGCAATCAAAATCAGGATTAAACAATCAACAAATATAAAGCAACAATCACATAAATCAACACCAAGATTTTTATGTGGAAAACTCGATGCGGGAAAAACTACAGGACCACAGTCCACCTAAAACCTTCTACTATAAAAAAATAATGGGTTCACAATTGTTCTTTCTTAGATTCAACTAAGGGCTACAACATACATATCATCAATAACAACTTATTTTTTGAATACAACAAGATTAAAGAGAGAAATGTTTGAGAAAAGCTCACAACACTGACAACCGTGTTTTCTATCAAAACAGCCAGATTCCACACCACCAATCTTCGATCCAACCATTCAGAATGAAGAGTAACGTGTTTAAAAGCTACTGTCATAATTTCAGCCCGATCCAACGGTGAATGAGCTGGAAATAGAAGAATGAAGACAACCAATTCAGCTATCTCAACTTCTTCTCTTTCTTCTATTTTTCTCTTCTCTTTTTATTAAAATTACTATTGCATCTACAGTACAACTATATTTAAATTAAAAGAGGGAGCTTATAACAATTAATATGGTTGTCCCACCATCACATGGTGCGAGACCTACATAATAAATCTCCTCCTCACGCACCATGTGAGGAATTCTCTCTTTTTGTTAAAATTGCTACTGCATCTATAGTATAACTACATTTAAATTAAAAGAGGCAGCTCACTTTTAATTTTATCAAATATTTCAAATTCATTATTGGCTCTTTGATTTTTTTTAATCTAAGCCAAATTAAGGTCAAACAACTTCTCTTTTTTAATCATTGTTTATAACCTAAATCTTCCAAACTTAATTTTTTACCCTTGGTACTTGGTTCAATTTTAACTCCAACTATACTTTTTTATATTTTATATTTTTTGTACCTCTTATGAGTACTTGTAAGAATACAAAAATTAATAAAAAAAAGATGAAAATAAAAAAATAATTAAAATTAACTAGATTTAATGAAGATATACATTTTTTTCTTGAATTTTTTCCTAGAAGAGAATAGATATGCAAGCTCAAGCATTTGCCACCAAATAAATGGGATAAATTTTGGTGTAGTAAAAAACCCAACACTTTTAGTTCATTAGGTAAAGGTAATGTTCATTTTCCATTGTATATAACAGTGACGATCTTAATTAATTTTTAAGTCTTGATCAGAAACCAATATTTTTCTTATGACTTCATAAAAATAACTCGATAACTTTGACTAATTAGATAAATAATAAAAAAAAAAGAAACGAGCAAGAAGGTGCTTCTATTAACAACCTTGGAGTCTTTTTCTTTTACGCGTTATAAAGCTAACTTCTACCTAGAAATGCTCGTATAGACCAAGAAGCTAAAGTCAACTTCATCAGCGACAAGTGCCCTTGAAAGTTATCCTCCTCTATATTCTTCCCTCTTAACTCTCCAAGACCTTATCTTGTTTTGTAAACCTAAAACCTTGTTTAACCAAAATCAAGTTGTCATGGCTCAAACCGATCAAAAACAAGCTCCAGGTAATTATTATGTATAAAACCAACTCAATTTCTTTTTAAAATATGTTTTTTTTTGTTTGGAATTCATTAGTTTTTCATATAAGTGATGCATGCCGCCTTTTGCAGAAATATATGAACCGGCTTGTCAGGTGAATCCACCATCTGCACCACCGATAGGGTACCCTCAAGGTTACTATGTTGCACCACCACCAATTGGTTATCCCACTAGGGATGATTCAGGTTACCCTTCCCAGCATACTCCAGAGACCAAAATGAGAGGATCGTAAGTGCCACATGCATATATTTAGCTAAATCAAGTTATGCAATTTCGATACCCTGCATATATTTTCCAGTTTTTCTTCTCATTTATTTTTTTAATGAGTACTTATAGGTGCAAAGCTTATTTAATATTTGATGAGCATGAATAATCAATGTTATTAATCATGATCTTGCTTGATGGATCAATCTGGTTACTTAATGGTTTGATTTCTAGCTCGGGTTGAATTTTAAATTAAACTAAATTATGAGTTGATTTAATATAACTCAATTAATTTGATAAATCAATTAACGATCTTATCAAAAATCAACTTAAATCAATTCATCTAATTTATAATCCAGATCTTAAACTAGATTATAAACTGAAGTGGGTTTAATAATTTTAAGTTTAATATAGAAAAACACAATAATTATATACATATAAAAAAATGAACATGCATCATATTTTAGGAAAAAATAAAAAAAATTACTCTTTGGGATAATAAGACGATAGAATTAAGCATCATTTGTCAAATGATGCCCATTAATTCTTGTTTTGAATTCTTATCTGCTTCCCTTTGCAGCATTGAAATTCAGTGTTGCTGCTTTGTCTGGAGGAAGTCCTAGCTTGTGCTACGTACTAGATATCATATGGACATCTCGATTTGCATTTCGTGGGTATAAATGTTCCCTTTCATTTGAATAAAGAAAAAAGAAAAGAAAATTGTACTGTTCTAGTATCATATGCTTAATAGCATATAAATACATGCAAGGTTGTGTTTTTTCAGTATGGTGATTGACTTTGGAAAAAACAGATTTTGTCTCCTTTAATGACCTTCCAGAAAGGGAGGTCTTTCCATTCCAGATTATTTTCAAAAAACTAAGAACAAAATCCTCTTGGTGATTCTGAAATTACATGTTGCATTCTTGTAGACTACCTACTGAATATGATTATCTTATTACCTCAGTAAACACATGTTTGAAGCCTATACCTCTTGATGAGCTCCGTGGTCATTTGATCACACATGATCTGTGTTTGGAACAAGTTGCTCTTTTATTTAATATCAATATTCTTGTCATACCCCATTTTTAACCCAAATATTTTTGTTAAAGTATAATTAAAATTTTCAGAAACAATTTGAGCCAATTAATAGTCATTTCATAATCGTTCATGTGTTTCAAAAATCAACAAAAATAGAATATATGTTTTTAAAATGACAAAAGAATAAAAAAAATCATTGGTGTGTTGTCACAGACAACTAAAAATAAAATCTAAACTCTTAAAAATATATATAGTTGTTGTAACCCATTTTTGAGTTCCTGCACAAAAAAGAAAAAATTCAATAAAAAAAATATCAAAAAAATAATAGCAGCAAAAAGAGAATGTCATTGTGCCTATAAAATGATAAAAAATTAGTTTAGGAGGTTCAAAAATACAAGAATAAAAATTTGACAGTATATCGTTGACTGGTGAGAGCCTTGTTGATGAAGAAAAGTCCCAAATAAGATATTTATGGACTCAATTAAATTTTATGAAAGTTTTAATTGAATATATGGAGGTTTGATTGCAATAAAAATTAATTTTTAAGTCAATTTAAGCTTTAATTGAAAGAAATTAAAGTTTTGGGGTCAAATTATAATTTTTTAGAGTTGATTTAGTCAAATCAAAAGCTTAATTGCATAAATATTGAAGTTTGATGGTCAATTAGGGATTTAATTAAAGAAATCCAAAACTAAAGACCAAACTGGAAAAGACGTGTAAATGGAGGGGCTGAAATTAAAGGAATCAGGGACTAAATTGAAAAAATAAGAAGTTTATTGATCAATTGAGGATCAAATTGCATAAATTAAAAACCAAGAACTAAAGTGAAAAAATCAGCCAACTTCAGGGCCGACGATTGAATTTAGCAGGGATGTAATTGATATTATTTTTAAAATCAAAATTGCAATCGAGGGTTTAATTGAATAAATCATAAATTGAGGATTGATTTGAAATCTAACATATTTTGGGTCTAATTTCTGTTTAAATAAAATGATGTATTTTGGTCAAAATGACGCCATTTCATATATTAAAAAAGAAAAAAAAAATAGTATCATTTTAAATGATGCCGGGATGTACAAAGGACAGGGGAAGAAAAAGCTATTATGTTCCCCTGTAACGCCAGTATTTTCCTCACTCTGCCCTGACTTGCCTAAAAATACACAACACAATCCATACCTACACTCACCTACTATCATGATAAAAAAAAAAGAAGGGATGCCATACCCTGCAGCGGCTGGGGTGGCTGTGCAGAAGCCACCCCATGCCACCTTGCCCTGCATCCTGACGAGACAGGGGAGGGTGGCCTCTCTCTCTTCCTGTTTATAAATAAAGGAAGAGAGATGAAGAGAAAAGGGGGGTATTTTTTGAGGTGGAGAGAGGTAAAAATAAAAAAAATAAAAAAAATAGAAAAGAAAGAAAAGGAGGGGGAAAGATAGAACAAGGAGGGGGACAAACAAGAGAGAAGGGGAAGAATTGCATGAAAAAAAGGGTATAGAGAGAAAGAAAAGAGGAGAAAGATAGTGAACCAGAGGGAAGGAAAAGGAAGGAAGGAGGCGGAGCAGAGGAAAGATTAAAGATTGAAAAGAGGGGAAACCGAAAGAACAAGAAAGAAGTACAGGAAAACTGGGGCGAACAAAAAGAGAAAGAGGAGAGAAACCGAAGTAAAACAGACTAGAAGGAGAGAAGACACAAGGACATAGGGGACGAAACGAAGATAATGACAGAGAGTAGAATAGAAGCAGACAAGAAAAGTAAAAAAAACCATAGGTTGGCGCCTCAGCATGGGGAACAAGAAGGAAAAACAGTAGCGCCGCCGAGCTTCTCAGCCACTACCACCGCAACACCACCAAGAACGGCCACTAGCATAACTGTCAGCCCATCTATTCGAGCTCATCATCCCAGGCAATTTTCTTCCCCTCTTCTCCATTCATTGTTCATTACTTGATTACTGTGCATGTGCGCAGTAATCGACTAATTCATTATTGGTTACTGTGCTCATGGACAGTAACCAGTCCATGGGTGCCACGGGCTAGATCATCAGCCTAGCCTAAGCAACTGGGCTGAGTCCAACCCTGTAGAAAGTGGGCCTGTTTTCTTTTGGGTCGGGTCAGGCCCATTCCAATTCAAAAAAATTCTGAAAAATTATTTTCAAAAAAATTTAGAATTTTGCCATGTATATTTTTTATTATCAATTTTGTTTAATATTGAATTGTATTTTTATATCATAAAGATATGAATCTGTTATTAAAATCCTAGGTTTTGTCAAAACATTGCAAAAATTATAAAACCAAAAATACAAAAAATAGTTTTGTTTTTATGTATACGACCAAGTAAAACAAAAAACAAAAAAC